GCCTTCGGCTCAGGTCATGATCCTGGAGTCCCTGGATCGAGTCCCGCATCGGGCTCCCTGCTCAGCGGGGAGTCTGCTTCTCCCTCTGACCCTTCCCCCTCTCATGCTCTCTCTATCTCATTCTCTCTCTCAAATAAATAAATAAAATCTTTAAAAAAAAAAAAAGTAACAGTACTTTGCCTATATATTTCTTTATAACTACTTATTAATAAAATCAAAGACCGCTTAAAGATTTTTTTTCTGTAGCTAAGAGAAGATGGAATATATATGACTTAAAATTAGATTATTAATGTAACAACAAGAACTGACACTTTCAAAGCACTCTCTGTATTTCATACACTTTTCCATATATTAATGTCTAATATCCTCACAGATCAATGAGATATAGGTAATATTATTCCTATTTTACAGATGAGGAAACCAAGGCAAGGAGAGGCCAAGGAGCCTGGTCACATCTAGTAAGTGGTGGAGACAGTGTTTTAATGCAAGCAGTTTAGTCCAAAGCAGTGAGCTTAATGATTTGCTGCCCTGCCTGCTGATTCACTTAACTCTCATGAATTACCAGTTATTTTACAATGAAGTAGCAATATGTTTTTTCTTTTCTCAATTTTTCCTTTGCTCCTCCTTTTATTCTCACGTAATTGCATGTGTCTATGTGGAAATCTATTAAGCTTTTCTTAATTGATTTATGGTATATGTGCTCAGTTTTTACAAATTTTGATTTTGACTCTGGCTTCATGTTATTTAAAGAAACAACTATAATGAAATTGTAAGCCTCTGGTCAATTTTTTTCCTAAAATTGTCCCTTGGTAGACTTGCAAGTCCATATACCTACCTAGCATAACTTCTTTCTCTACAATATTTATTCAAGCACTGATAGTTTGTCTTAGGGTCTTTTGAGAAAATTAGCCTCTAAAAATGTATAATGTTATCTTAAAAGCAAAGTAATGGAGTAGGAAGAATGTAGGCATAACTTTCCAGCCATCCAACCTTGTCAATTATTAGATGTAACATTGAATTGGGTTAACTAACTATTCTGTTTCCTCATCTGTAAAATAAAGATAATACTTAACTTTACAGGTGATTGTAACAGTTAAATGACATTCTTGACATCTGAGTAGATATGCAGTAAAAACTAAATGTTATAGTGTATATCTTTTTTAGTCTCAGAAAGTTTTGAGGTATTTTTTTTATTTTTTTATTTTTTAAAAGATTTTATTTATTTATTTATTAGAGAGAGAGAATGAGATAGAAAGAGAGAGCATGAGAGGGGGAGGGTCAGAAAGAGAAGCAGACTCCCTGCTGAGCAGGGAGCCCGATGCGGGGCTCGATGCGGGGCTCGATGCGGGGCTCGATGCGGGGCTCGATGCGGTGCTCGATGCAGGGCTCGATGCGGGGCTCGATCCTGGGACTCCAGGATCATGACCTGAGCCGAAGGCAGTCGCTTAACCAACTGAGCCACCCAGGCGCCCCAGTTTGAAGTATTTTAAATTTCCAGTATTATACCTCTGGTTACAAGCAGCTTAGGAAATTTTTATAAAGTAGTTAACTATAGTATAACCTTTGTTATATAACATCACCAGACACAACTGACTGTTTAATCATTAACTAAGACAAAAATAATTTAAAATTTCTGTGGTTGGGAAAAGGCTGCATAATATTTTACCTTTAATCTCTGAATTTTTTATTAGCGAAAATTATTTTAGAATATGTTCAAATAAGCCAGTATATTTACATTGTAGATATTATAGATGAGTATATGTATTTTCTGGCAGATGGCAGTCAGGTGTTTTGAGAAAAGGAGGTCTTCTTCTGGCTTGAACAAAAGCATTGAAAGTCTAGTGGTAGCCCTGATTAGCAATATGGAAAATTTCCAAGTACATTATTGCTTGTGCCACACCTGGGGGAGGAAAAGAGGAAGGTGGAGTTGTGTATTAAAGGTTGGTAATTGCCCACAGTTTAAAGATATAATAGATAATATTCATCTTCAGCTGAAGTTATTTAGGACTGCAGAAGTGGCAGTG